AACATTTTGAACAAAAAGCTGAAAAAAAGACTATGAATTGGATTCAGAACGATAATCAAAATTCATTATTACCTCTTGATTGGTTGACATTACATCAACGTTACACAGTTTTGATGCTGTTTTATGTCTGATGAATCATGTTAGATTACACGTGGAAGCATCTGTTGTTTCGGTTTCTTCTTCACTTGTGTTTTTTGGAAATTCTGCACAGAAGATGTGTACTAGCGCCCCCTACAGTATAACAATTAAAACACGGATTCTCGGAGCACAATTATAGCTCAAATATATTTAGACTTTTTCTAAGTAGGCTGCAAGTCAAGTATACTTAAATGTCATTTTAAGTATATTTCTGAGAAGTACATAAAGCCCATTTCTGAGAAGTACATAAAAAGTAGACTAAAAATATACTTTCTTATTTTTTTAGTTTAAAATAAGTATACTATACTTCTTGTGAAGGCCGGTGAGGAGACCATTACAATAGTCCACCCTGCTGGTGATAAAGGCATGAACAAGTTTCTCCAAGTCTTGACTGGAAACAAAAACATCTAATGATAGTATGATGATAGTATGCTGATTTAGTTACTGCTTTGACATGACTACTGAAACTAAGGTCTGTCTCCAGAATCACACCAAGATTCCTGACTTGATTTTTAGTTGTTAGGCTAGAGTCAAGGTATGCATTCACCTTGAAAACTTCATCTTTGTTTCCACATGCAATGACTTCAGTTTTCTCCTTGTTTAACTGAAGAACGTTCTGGCACATTCTACTATAAATATTCACCTAATCCAGCACTCTGTGTGTTTTCCGTCTTATAAAATATCACATTTTATTTTATTTGTAGTAAAACCATGGTTATTTTTCGTAAGATGTACTCACGACATTCTGTGTGCAAAAACATATTTCTCAACAGATTTTATCCAGGGTGATATAACAAAAGATCAATAATTACTGTAATATAATATTTTCCAAACTTGCCCTAGCTGAAAATACTGTAGGATGTATTTGTTTCCCCTCCATTGCTGTTGCTGTTTTTATTATATTAACTAGGAAATTGATTTTGGAAATTTGTGAATCGATGCAAATCGCAAGAAGACTGAATCGCAATTCATATGTGAATTTATTTCACCCCCCCACCCCTAATATTTAATATCTGGATTGAATATGAGGCTGTGAGGGACTGAAGAAAAAAAAATCTATCCATTACAGCCTCGTTTTTAGGTAATATGCATTGCTAAGAACTTCATAAATACTGCTCTTTTCTCATGCTAAAAACGTATAGTACTCGAATATAATCATTCTGATTGGTGATGGTGGGTGAAACTAAAGTTATTAAAGTTGCTTCGCAAAATGACTCACTGATTCGAAGCACTCGAAACGCCACCTGTATGGCGGCCGGGAGGTCCAAAAATAAGACTAATAACTTGTTGCGGGAAGTCACTATACTATTGCTAGGAGCTACTGAGTTTGCCACGACTCACCTTCCTCACACGGTGGTAGTGAGTCGCCAGCTGAGGAGAGTGAGCCGCCCGCCGTGTGAGGAGAGTGAGTCGCCAGCTGAGGAGAGTGAGTCGCCAGCTGAGGAGAGTGAGTCGCCAGCTGAGGAGAGTGAGTCGCCAGCTGAGGAGAGTGAGTCGCCAGCTGAGGAGAGTGAGTCGCCAGCTGAGGAGAGTGAGTCGCCAGCTGAGGAGAGTGAGTCGCCAGCTGAGGAGAGTGAGTCGCCAGCTGAGGAGAGTGAGTCGCCAGCTGAGGAGAGTGAGTCGCCAGCTGAGGAGAGTGAGTCGCCAGCTGAGGAGAGTGAGTCGCCAGCTGAGGAGAGTGAGTCGCCAGCTGAGGAGAGTGAGTCGCCAGCTGAGGAGAGTGAGTCGCCAGCTGAGGAGAGTGAGTCGCCAGCTGAGGAGAGTGAGTCGCCAGCTGAGGAGAGTGAGTCGCCAGCTGAGGAGAGTGAGTCGCCAGCTGAGGAGAGTGAGTCGCCAGCTGAGGAGAGTGAGTCGCCAGCTGAGGAGAGTGAGTCGCCAGCTGAGGAGAGTGAGTCGCCAGCTGAGGAGAGTGAGTCGCCAGCTGAGGAGAGTGAGTCGCCAGCTGAGGAGAGTGAGTCGCCAGCTGAGGAGAGTGAGTCGCCAGCTGAGGAGAGTGAGTCGCCAGCTGAGGAGAGTGAGTCGCCAGCTGAGGAGAGTGAGTCGCCAGCTGAGGAGAGTGAGTCGCCAGCTGAGGAGAGTGAGTCGCCAGCTGAGGAGAGTGAGTCGCCAGCTGAGGAGAGTGAGTCGCCAGCTGAGGAGAGTGAGTCGCCAGCTGAGGAGAGTGAGTCGCCAGCTGAGGAGAGTGAGTCGCCAGCTGAGGAGAGTGAGTCGCCAGCTGAGGAGAGTGAGTCGCCAGCTGAGGAGAGTGAGTCGCCAGCTGAGGAGAGTGAGTCGCCAGCTGAGGAGAGTGAGTCGCCAGCTGAGGAGAGTGAGTCGCCAGCTGAGGAGAGTGAGTCGCCAGCTGAGGAGAGTGAGTCGCCAGCTGAGGAGAGTGAGTCGCCAGCTGAGGAGAGTGAGTCGCCAGCTGAGGAGAGTGAGTCGCCAGCTGAGGAGAGTGAGTCGCCAGCTGAGGAGAGTGAGTCGCCAGCTGAGGAGAGTGAGTCGCCAGCTGAGGAGAGTGAGTCGCCAGCTGAGGAGAGTGAGTCGCCCGCCGTGTGAGAAGAGTGAGTCGCCCGCAGTGTGAGGAGAGTGAGTCGCCGTCTGAGGAGAGTGAGTCGCCAGCTGAGGAGAGTGAGTCGCCTGCCGTGTGAGGAAAGTCAGTCGCCAGCTGAGGAGAGTGAGTCGCCCGCCGTGTGAGGAAGGTGAGTTGTGGCAAACTCAGTAGCTCCTGGCAATAGTATATTGCCTTCCCGCAACAAGTTATTAGTCTTATTTTTGGACCTACCGGCCTGCCATACACCTGCAGGTCAAAACATGTAAGTGCAACAAAAACTCAGTCCATAATGACACATTATACAAACCAACTGCAAATACTTTCATAAAAGTGTAATCTGCTAAATGAAATCTACAAATAATTACCAAAGCCAATTACATATGACGGTTCTGTAAAATGTGTGCGCTTTTATTAATTTGCTTGTTTTGTTTGTTGCTAGACAGGGCTTGGCAAACTATTAGAAGCAGTTCGATCCAGTCCAGTGTGTTCGTTTGGGAAGAAATCCTGAGCTCTAAACACACCTGGGGGGTTTCTTCAAAGAAGCTGCATCGTTCTCATCTTTTCAGGAGGACCAGGTGCAAGAATGCATTAATAAATCCTACAATGAACCTGAAGTGGCATCGAGAGTCTTGAGCTACAGAGAAACACGACTCGAGATTCTTATCCTTCAGAAGAGAGAGAGAGATCCTTATGAAATATACCAGTGCTCTCTATACTAGCATTAAAAACCACAAAAGCTCATAAACACCAGGCTGAGAGGTGCTGACCTACATCTTCTTATGTGAGCCAAAAGATTTTACCACGACCAAAAAAAAAAAAAAAAAAAAAAAAAATCATGTTAAGTAAGTTAGTAGTTCCCTTATTAGACATTTCTATGGAGGCCTTCATTTGTGATACCCCAAATGACAGAATAATACTGTAAAAAATTTTCCCCACCCAAAAAAAAAAAAAAAAAAACTATAGTAACACCATGATTATTTTTCATAATTACTTACATTTGGGTCTGTTTAGTGTGGAAGCCCTTACCATGTAAGAAAAATAAATAAATAACCATGCTTTGATAAGTCATAATTATGACTAGAAACGATGAATTGACATACCAAGCTGAAATTATGACTTAGAAGGTCGAAACTGACACACTAATTCATAATTACGAGATCAAAAGTTAGAATTATGAGATGAAACATCGGAATTATGGCTTAGAAAGTCGAAATTATGAATTAAAAAGTCATAATTATGAGAATATATATTTTTAATTAAAATAATTTTATTAAAAATGGGCCCTTTATCTCATAATATTGACTTTTTATTGTCGTAATTTCAAATTTTTCTTTCATAGTTATGACTTTTCATGTTATAATTTCATTTTTAATGTTATAATTTCGACATTTTACTTCATAATTATGACCTTTGATGTTATAATTAAAATTTTCATCTCATAATTCCGATTTTTTACCTCATAGTTATGACTTTTCATGTTATCATTTCGTCTTTAATGTCATAATTTAGACATTTTACTTCATAATTATGACGTTTCACGTTATCATTTCAATTTTTCATCTCATAATTCTGACTTTTTACCTCATAGTTATGACTTTTCATGTAATAATTTCGTCTTTAATGTCATAATTTCGATTTTTAACTTCATAATTATGACCTTTGATGTTATAATTTAAATTTTCCTCTCATAATTCTGACTTTTTACCTCATAGTTATGACTTTTCATGCTATAATTTAGTCTTTAATGTCATAATTTCGACATTTTACTTCATAATTATGACCTCATGTTATAATTTAAATTTTCCTCTCATAATTCTGACTTTTTACCTCATAGTTATGACTTTTCATGCTATAATTTAGTCTTTAATGTCATAATTTCGACATTTTACTTCATAATTATGACCTCATGTTATAATTTCAATTTTCCTCTCATAATTATGACTTTTTACCTCATAGTTATGACTTTTCATGTTATAATTTCGTCTTTAATGTCATAATTTCGATTTTTAACTTCATAATTATGACCTTTGATGTTATCATTTAAATTTTTCATCTAATAATTCCGATTTTTTACCTCATAGTTATGACTTTTCATGTTATAATTTCGACATTTCATCTCATAATTTTGACTAATCAAAGAGTGATTTTTGTTTTCTTACGTGGCGGAAATGCTTTTATGATAATGACACGCTGATCACGCTTTCGTTTCTGGAGTTCTCAGATGAGTTTTATTTTGAAAGCAGCAGTGCGTTGTTGTGTTTCCGGTGTCGATCGCTTGATAGCTTTAGCGGCTAGTTGAGGACGGTTTTGGGGATCTTTGTGTTGTTGAAAGGAAGATTTCAGAGCTCAGATAGAAACCCAACACTCGTCTGCTGTACACACCTTCAAATCGTCTCTGATATGGACGAATCGCGAGTGTTTGCGTCGATGTTGGGCTTTCTGCTGATGTGTGTCGCCTTCCGTGTTTCTGAGGCGAAAACAACAACAATTCCACCTGTTCACAAACGTATGTTTTTACTTCTATCTTCTTCTTTTTAATCACATCTCTCTATTTTGCAGCTTGAAAATGCTTGTAATATAAATATGTATGTAAATATATGAATACATGTAAGTATGTTGTCATTATTATAGTATATGTATATTACTATTATTAATATTTACGTATTATAATATTTCCATAATTGATTGGGTATGTTTAATATTAATCATCCAGTATGTGATGTGGTGTATTTATGGTCGCACTAAATTAAGCATTAAAGTTATGTGTTGCTTTATCAGCCGTCTGATCATCTAGACAAATCTTTGGCCAAATTCAGCTCTTTATTTATTTATTTAATGTCAGTGATTTGTCTGATCTGTATGTTTTTATTCTTCTTTCTCGTCCCAGCATGCAACACAATGACTTCCTGTGAGACGTGCCTCGCCAATGTCTCGGTGAGATCACAAGATGCTCATCTAGTTTTTATTACCATCTGAACTGTTTGTAAATGAGTATTGTAATATTTAGGGAAGTTATTAATGTAAGACTGCCAGAAATCTGCTCAGATGCTCCAATTTGATTCATTATAACTTCATTATCATTGCACTTTGTTTTTTTTTTATATTTTAAGCATTCAAACTGATTTGCGCCATTTGGTCAAATAAGATGAATGCTTTAGTGACACAAACCAGCGATAATGCAACACAACATCACAGATGCATTGAGGATAATATTTGTGCTGCTGATTTCCTACTAAAATTATCTCACTTCCTGGAGAATGCCAATAACAAAAAATAACATAAAATGAATGAATGTTTTTATAAATGAATGTAACATCCTGGAGGATGTAATTAATAATAATACTAATAATACTAATAAATATTTTTCTAACATCATGGAGGATGTCATTAACATTAATAATAATAATAATAATAATAAATGTTTTTGTAGCATCTTAAAGGTTGTAATTAATAATAATAATACATATTTTGTATTATGTAATTATTAATAATAATAAATGTTTTTTTTTTAACATATTAGAGGATGTAATTAATAATAATAATAATAATATGAATAAATATTTTTCTAACATCCTGGAGTATGTCATTAACATTAATAATAATAATAATAATATGAATAAATATTTTTCTAACATCCTGGAGGATGCCATTAATATTAATAATAATAATAATAATAATAATACATCTTTTGCATTATGTAATAATAATAATAATAAATATTTTTCTAACATCCTGGAGGATGTCATTAACATTAATAATAATAATAATAATAATAATAATAATAATAATACATATTTTGTATTATGTTATTATTATTATTGATGTTTTTTTACATCCTGGAGGATGTAAATAATAATAATATTAATAATAATAATAATAAATAATAATAATACATATTTTGTAAAATAAATAAATAATAATAATAATACATATTTTGTAACATCCTAGAGGATGTAATTAATATTAATAATAATATAATAATAACAATACATATTTTTCTAACATCCTGGAGGAT